ACACCCTCGCCATCGTGCACGAGGTCAGGAGAGGGGCTGGGGGCGGGAGGGTCCCTGCTGGGCAGGTCACCCCGGGTACCTTGGTCATTCCACTCAGAGCTCCCCCTCCCCACCGTTCCCACAGGTCACAGCCCCAGGGATCCCCACCCCTGCTTCCCAAACAAGGCTCAAGGTGGACAAGCAGACCTGGGATGTTGGAAGTTGAGGCTTGTACCTTCAACACTGTATACGTGTTGACCCAGAAACTCCACTTTATGGATTCTGTTGCAAATAGAGGTTGATGGACACGGTGTTCCCTTCGACACGGTGGGAGTGAGCTGCCCACGCTAGGTGATGGGTGCACCTGTGGCCTGGGATGGGTGCTGCTCACTGTTCTCCCAGACAGGGGTGCCCGTCACCCTTCTCTCCCGGGGACCTCCGTTTCCTCACGTTCTCGCCAGGGCTGCTGGTCCCCAGACCAGACACCTGCCAGTCTGAGGGTGACCAGTGCTGCCTCCATAGGGTTTCCTTTGCCAGAGTCCTTCCCCGGGAGCTCCTGCATCTCTGACTCCCCCCATGCCTGTCCCCCTCCCCTTGGACTTGCATGCATTTCATCTCTGTCCCTGTGGAACCCAGTGACTTGGAGCATGGTTTGGACCAGAGGCATGGGAAACCTTTCTGTGGCCTTGGGTTGTGAGCAATGCTTTGGCCCTTTGGGGTGTTTCTTCCAGCTTTCTGCATTTCCCTGGTTTCTCTGTGGGTCACAGGAGGAACCAGCCCTTTCCTGTCTGGGGTCAGGCTGAGGTGTCCCAGCAGGAACAGGGGTCTCCGCCCCGAGATTGTGTCCATATTTACCAAAGGGGGCTCTATGGTTACATCTCATCTGTAATCCATCGGGGTTTTCAACATCCAATAACGGAAATTCTATGTCAAGTCAACACAGAAAAGAATGAGTCCCCTTTGAAAATAGGGGGGCAGACACAAAGGCCCATACTGTGTGATTCCACATACAGGAAACATCCAGAACAGGTAAAGGAACAGAGAGAGGAAGCAGCTTAGGGGTTTCCAGGGAGGCCTTCTGGTTCGGGGACTCCTGTGGGGAAGCAGATATTCCACAGCCATGTTCTGTGGTGTGGTGGCCCAGCGTTGGGAATGTACTTGATGCTCAGGACTTGTTCAACTGAAAACAATTCATTTTATTTAAAATAAATAATAAACAGCATATAGGACATGGAAAGAGAATAGAACAGTTAATACGAACCAGAGAGAAAGAACATAGGGGGAGGGGATGAAACAATCTGGCGGGGCATCGGGGTCGGGTGATGGAGCTAAGGGTAATGGTACAAGGAGCTCTCCCCATGAGGATGTGGGCTCTGGATATGGTTCTGGGAGCCCTGCAGGAGCAGGAGGAGGGGCAGGACCAGATGCAAGGGCAGGGCCAGATGCAAGGGCAGGGCCAGGGGCAGGATCCACGGTAAGAGCTGGGTCAGGGGCAAGTACAGGAGCACAGGCAGGGCCAGGGGAAGGGGCAGCGGCCCTGGAAAGCAGGGGAAGGGGCATCGGCTCTGGCAGGGGCAGGGGCAGGAACAGGGACACTGGCAGGGGAAGGGGAATTGGCTCTGGCAGGGGCAGGAACAGGGACACAGGCAGGGGAAGGGGCATCAGCTCTGGCAGGGGCAGGGGCAGGAACAGGGACACTGGCAGGGGAAGGGGCATCGGCTCTGGCAGGGGCAGGGGCAGGAACAAGGACGCAGGCAGGGGAAGGGGCTTCGGATCTGGCAGGGGCAGGAACAGGGACACTGGCAGGGGAAGGGGCATCGGCTCTGGCAGGGGCAGGGGCAGGAACAGGGACGCAGGCAGGGGAACGGGCATCAGCTCTGGCAGGGGCAGGGGCAGGAACAGGGACGCACGCAGGGGAAGGGGCATCGGCTCTGACAGGGGCAGGGGCAGGAACAGGGACGCAGGCAGGGGAACGGGCATCAGCTGTGGCAGGGGCCGGAACAGGGACACAGGCAGAGGAAGGGACAGGTGCAGGGGCAGGGGGTGGGTCAGGGGCAGGAATGGGCGCACACGCAGGGGCAGGGAAACGGGTAGGGAAAGGGGAAGGAGCTGGGTCAGAGGCAAGGATAGGAGCACAGGGAGGGGCTGGGGAAGGGACAGTTGCAGGGGCAGAAGCCGAGTCAAGGGCAAGAACAGGAATACAGGCAGGGGCAGGAGAAGGGGCAGGATCCAGGGCAGGAGCTGGGTCCGGGGCAAGAACAGGAACACAGGTAGGGGAAGGGGCAGGTGCAGGGGCAGGAGGTGGGTCAGGGACAGGCACAGGACCACAGGCAGGGGCAGGGGCAGAACCCGGGTCAGGGGCAAGAATAGGAGCACAGGCAGGGGCAAGGGAAGGGGCAGGATCCAGGGCAGGAGCTGGGTCAGGGTCAGGATCCGGATCAGGGGCAAGAACAGGTGCACAGGGAAGGGAAGGGGCTGGTGCAGGGTCAGGAGCTGGGTCAGGGGCAAGAACAGGTGCACAGGCAGGTGCTGGGGAAGGGGCAGGTGCAGGGGCAGGAGGTGGGTCAGGAGAAGGGACATTGGCTCTAGCAGGGGCAGGGGCAGGGGCAGGAGTTGGGGCAGGGGCCGGAACAGGAGCACAAGCCGGGGAAGGGGAGGGGGCCGGTGCAAGGGGAGGGACAGGGTCTGCCGCCTTGGCACGTACAGGAACCGGGGCAGTATCTGGGTCAGGGGCAAGAACCGGGGCACTGGCAGGGGTAGGGATGGGTCAGGATCCAGGGCAGGAGCTGGGTCGGGGGCAGGAGCAGGGCCACAGTTCGGGGCAGGCGCAGGGGCGGCGGCTCTGGCAGGAACAGGGGCAGGCACAGGGGCAGGCTCTCCGGAGGCAGGTTGTCCAGCAGGCCCTTCCTGGCCCCCGTCAGGCTCTCTGTGGGCGGGTGCTGGGTCACCTGCCGGCTCCTGGTCTCCTGCTGAAGTCGCAGCCACCACCCCTCCGTCCAGAGCTGCCGATGGAGTTGGAACCGGCTCTAGCTCCTCAGGTGGTGGAGCAGCTGTGAGAGGAGAAAAGCTCACCCCGAGCCTGCTCTCCGTGGATACAGAACCCAGCCCAGGGCCTCCCAGAGAAGCCGCAGCCAGGAAGGAGCCCTCCCCGGGGCGTCTCCCCGACCGCAGTCCACCTGCTGGGGGCTCTGAGCCCAGTCGGTGCTCCAGGCCCCACACCAGGCTCTGGGGGCTCCTCCCTGTGGGGCCAGCCCCCACCCTTCTGCACACAACCACGGGCACCCAGCCCCGGGCTTCTCAGCCTCAGGCTCAGTCTCCATGGGCTCCGGCTCCTGGAGAACAATGCAGTCAATGACCACCAGGGACAGTGGTCTGGGTGGTGTCGGAGGCCTCTCCCCGCAATCCCCGGCACCTGCTCCAGGGGAGTCCTGTGGGGTCACGCTCCGGATCCCGGACATGGAGTGGGTGTCCGCCAGCCTCGTGCCGATCTCATCGGAGGTCTGCAAAGACAGAGACGGGTAGCCGGCCCGGAGGCATCCCAGTCCTGCCCGGCCAACCTCCCTGTCCCCTGCCCATTCGCCCTGCTCCTCCCAGATCAGACACACACCTGTGGGTGCACAGCCCCGCACGCGGGACAATGACCCATCCCTGCAGGGCGATCGAGAGAAACCCTGGGCAGAAGCTCACAGGCCCCCACACCCCGTCCCACCCAGCCAGCCTGGACCTTGAACATGACCTGCCCACGGGTTATCTGACCCCTCATCAGCCTGCTCTTGAATGGCGTTGGCCCACCCCACATGACCCCTCTTCACACACACACACACACACACACACGGAGGGGAGGGGACCTGGGGCTGCACAGGTGGATTAGACCCTGTGGGGCTGGGTAGCCGGCTCTGGGCCTCCTGGTGTCACCTTTCGGGCCTTCCGGCCAAACGGCCAGAGGCGGTGGGGAACCCTGATCGGACATCCCCAGCGGGGGCCAGCGTTTGCAGGGCGGGCTTTCTTCAGCCTGCAGCATCCAGACTTAGGGAGGCAACAAGCCCACATGTTCATGGTTGGATGATCTCCAACGAAATGAGCTGGGCGGGGGGCTGTCTCTGGAATGTGGGTGCCTTGTTACCTGGGTTCCAAATTCTGTTGGACTCTGTTGTCAGGGAAGTGAGGTCACCACTGCCTGGGGTCCCCTTACCCAACTTCCTCCTCACACAAAACCCCCACCCCCGAGGGCCCTCTCCCCCAGCTGCTCAATGCTCCCCCTCCCCCCATGCCCCATCCATACAGTGACTCCCTCACAGCCCACCCACAGCCTTCCCAAGGCCTGGGTGCAGCCGGTGTCCCCGCTGTGAGGACACAAAGCTGGCTTCAGACTGGGCTCCTGTGCGTGCCCAGGGCTGTGACCCTGGACAGACCCTGTGCCTCTCAGGGCCTCCCCAGGCTCCCCATCTGCACAGTGGGGTGTTCTGGCTTCTACTCCTAGGGACGCCATCAGGGGTAGGACCTCTACATACATTCCGTACTTGCTATCACAGGAGGCTGGGGCACACTTGGCAATGCAAGGATGAGCCAGGGGCTGGGCGGGACATGGAGCACAGCTCAGAGGGGCCTGGGTCTGCTCTGGGGTCTGGGCAAAGCCACCCCCTTCTTGCCTGTTCCCAGCCCCTGTGGGAAGGTTGCAATGAACGGATTCCGACCTTGTCCCCTGGTGACGCACACTTCCAGGGGCTCCCATTAGGTTTAGGCTCAGGCCCCGGGGCCTCGTCTGCGCCCATGTGCTGGGCAGTCCCCACAGTGGTTCCCGGGCATTCCCGCATCCTGCTCACACATCCCTGTGGAATCCCCTCCCCTCCGGGGTGGATGGCCTGTGTGACCACGCTCTCAGGAAGAGAATGGGGCCAAATGCTGGGATGTCATTTCCAAGCTGATGGAGGAAAGTCTGTGACTTCTTCTGGTTCCCTCTGTCGTGTGTTCATTCTCTGTCTCCTTATCTGTTTCTGTCTCTGTCTCTGTGTCTCTCACAGGAGCAGGATCTGTGGACTCCAGGGGTGATGTGAGAAACCTCAGAAGCCTCCCTTGTCCGTGTTTCCCTCTTCTGTCCCGGTGCTCCGTTCCTTCCTAAGGCCTTGTCACCCGGACCAGAGCAGTGAATCTGGAACCTCTTCCAAATGGAGACCCGGAGGCTGCAACAAGGAGGGTCTTGGCCTTGGTCCCCAGACTAGTGGTCAGTGCTCTGCCACGTTCTGCGTACCCAGGTCCTCAGCCCCCCAAGCCCCCAGTCTGTCCCCTGCTCAGAAGGACCTCGAGGGAGTACAAAGCATTTTCCCAGGACTGGGAGCACAGTGGGTCGGGGATGGAGATCCAAGGCCAAAGGCTCTTCCACAAGCCTGTGGGACCCTAGGGACACTGCATCTCTACAGCCCAAGTGACAGAAGAGTAAGCTGAGGCCTTTGTGCTGTAGCCCCTCTGGACTTGGGGGTGGGTATCTCTTCCTGCTTCCAAGTGCCCAGGCTGGTGATGGACACCGGAACCCAGACCCTGTCCTCTCCCAGTGCCCTGGCAACCCTTCGGGGCCCCTTGGGGGCCCGTGACCCTCAGCCTGGCCTGTCTCCCCTCCCCATGCTATGGATCTGGGTCCTTGCCAGGAGTCCTGATGCCCTGCCCCATGGCCCAGCTGTCTGCAATCTGTTTCTTCTTTCCCCCCTGTCACCCACCTCGCTCCCAGGGTGTCTTCCCCTTCTGACCCCCAGCTGGGCATTCAGAGTGGTGTGTGTGTGTGTGGGGGGGGGTGGGTTTGCAGGTGCACGTGCCTCTACGTGCCTGGGGGTGCCAAGGTCATGTCCCCACATGGGACGGGATGGGTAGCTCTTCCCGAGGATCTGAGGGGCTCTCACCCCCAAAGCAAACCTCATGGGACGGTTGGGACTGGCCTAGGACTGGAGAGTAGCTCCTTGGACTCTGCACCCCTCAGTTGTCCTGGGCCAGTCCCTGCCTCTCTTGACCCAGGTTCCCAACTGTCCCTGAGGGTCGGACATGGAAAGGCTTGAACGTGGCTGCTCCTCCAGGGGTAGGTGGGGGACAGGTGCACCAGGCACGCAGGCCTCCCCACCGAGAGGGCCAGCCAGGTGTGTCATGGCCAGGTGTGCACAGACGACCTGCCCACAGCTCCTGTACCATGACCCAGCCCTGCGGCAGATGTGCACGAGACCCATGGCTCCGCACCTGACTGGTCCCCCGCGTTCCCTCACCACCTCGGAGACAAGGGCTCTTCTTCGTCCTAGGACCCGTCATCCTTCGGACAATGAGAGCAGAGGGATCCGTATGTAGAGGAGGCCGGCAGGGTGTCCCACGGAACGTCGTGTGCCCATCTCTGCTTTGTCGTCTAGGCTTAGCGGCGGACCCCCACCTAGAAAGAGGCCCGCGGGGCAGGGACATTTGTCTGCCCTGTTCCCTGAATTATGGAAAATGTCTAGAAGGGGCTTCCTGTCCATTTGTGGAGTCGATGAAGCCCAGCCAGCACCTTTCAGAGGTCTGAGTGGCTCTGGGGCCCCTCTGCCAGCCCCCAGGGATCCCTGCTCTGGTTCCACCCAGGATGGGAGCCCCAGATGGAATCTGAAACCTCCTCACAGCCAGGAATGCGGCTTTGCCCGGGACACAGGACACCGAGGCTTGGGGCAGAGAGCTCCTTCACGGTGGAGAGGAACCGCCTCAGCCCCAGGCCATCCTCCCCGTGGGCCGGCCACAGGGTCGGGGAGCGGTCCCAACAGGCCCAACGGCAACCCCGTGTGTGGGGCCTGGCCTCGTGGCACGCAGGGTCCCCAGGAGACACCTGAGGTTCGGAGAGGGGACGTGCCAGGCCCAAGACACACAGCCCACAGGTGAGGGGGAGCCTCCGGGCGGGACGGGGGGCCCTGCTCACCTTTGTGAGCAGCAGGTGTGGGAAGGGCTGGGAGGCGTTCCTCTGGGAGGTGCTCCGGGAGAGGGGCCACAGGAGAGGGCCTGGCCCGGCTCCACCAGCTTCCTCAGGCTGTCAGCACGGACCGCCCACAGCCTCTGGCTCGCCCCCAGCGGCAGGGCCCACTCAGGTTCACGGTGGGGCTGATCTTTGGATAAAGGAGGGACAATTCCCAACACAGAAACTGCAAAACTATTCCTGTCCATGTCCTGAAGTGCAACAGAATATCCAAATTGGTTCGGATCATCTTCCACGTATGTGAAGGGTGATTTTGTACCTGGCCAAGGCGGGGGCTGGACCGGGTGTGTGTGTCTGTGTGTGAAGGACCAGGTGTGTGTGTGTGTGTGTTTGAAGGACTGGGTGTGTGTGTGTGTTTGGCGTGTGTGTCTGTGTGTGTGTGTCTGTGAAGGGAGCAGCCCAGACCCCTTGGGTTGAGATCATGGCCACGTAAGGGGCACAGCCGTCGTGGCACCCCGGGTCGTCAGTGTCCTGGATGGCGTCGGGGCAGGAGACCCTCCCGGCCCTCCCCGAGCCCGGTCCTGGAGCGCCCTCGTCCCCACACTCCCCCTGAGCCCGCACCAGCCCTTACCGGCTGCCTGGTGCACGTGCCCCACGCCGGGGAGCCATAGAGTGAGGCGCCTGTTGACCAGCTTGTCCCCAATTTCTTCCACGGGGCTCTGCGAAGACAGTGAGCAGCGCCCGGCCCAGAGGCATCACAGCCCTGCCCGGCCGTCCTCACCGTCCTCCTGCCCAGCCCCACTGCTGCCCCCAGATCAGACACAGCCCCGTGCGGGCACAGCCCTGCGCCCGGGGTGCAGTGACATGTATTGACAGGGCTCCGGATCAACCCTGGGGAGAAGGAGGCCGCCCCAGCACACCCCGTCCCACCCAGCCAGCCTTGACCCGGGGTGTCAACATGATCCACCCACCAGGCATCTGGCCCCTCATCACCCTGCTCCTGCTCAGGGTGGGCTACCCTGCCCGAGACCTCTGCACACACACACACACACAGGAGGGGCGCTGGGCTGCACGGTCGGATCACAGCGGTGTCTGGCTGGCCTGGCTGGCTCTGGGCCTCCCTGTGTTCCCTTTGGGCCCCTCCAGGCAAATGGCCAGAGGTGTCAGGGGTGGGACCTGACCCCAGGTCTGCAGTGTAGGCAACAGCTCTCACTGTCGGCTTTGCTGAGACCACATCCTGGGGACATCGGGATACAGCAGGATTGCAGCATCTCCACCCAAGTGAACTGAGTAGGAAGGGGGCTGTCTCTAGAATGTGGGTGCCTGTGACAGCCCTTGGGCATCTTGGGGACGCCCTGGCCATCAGCCTGGCATGTCTCCCCCGAGCCCCATGCTACAGCCCCGGGCATGTTCCCAGGAGACAATGCCCACAGCCCACGGCCCAGCTGCCTCCAACCTCCTCCTTCTTTCCCCCTTGTCCCCTCCAGGGTCCACGCCCCCTTGGACGCCCCTGGGGAGTTTGTGTGTGTGTGTGTGTGCGCGCGCGCGCACGCAGAGCCTTGTGTACGTGTGCCCGCGCGAGGGTGACCACAGGAAAGGGCCCCACATGGGAGTGTGGGCAGGGGTCCCCCGGATCATAGGGGTCCTCGTTCCCAAAGGAAACCCCATGCGAGGTGAAGCTTGGCCTCGGAAGCTGGAACCCTCCCTGTTCCTCTAGCCTCTGCTCAGCTGGTGGGTCCCAGGCCAGTCCCTGCCTCTCCTGCCCTCAGTTTGCCGACTGTCCCATGAGGGCTTGGAGGAGGAACTTCATTAGCGTGGCTCAGCGTGGCCGGTCGGCTCCCACCTTTTGGGTGGATGTGGCGCAGGTGCACTCTGGGTGGGCGGGGCCCTACCACCAACGGTGGGTCGGAGGCAGGTGGATCCTGCGCAGGCGCACACGGCCCAGCAGACAGCGCCTGCGCGGGACCCCACCTGCCAGCAGGCCTGCGCAACCCCGAGGGGCTGGCTGTGGCGTTGGACCTCCGTGTCCCGATCTCCACTGCCTGCTCAGTGACCCTCATGTCCTCTTAGGCCGGGGGCCAGCCCCAGTCCCGCCAGGCAGGGCCGCTGGAATGAGTGGACATGGAGACCTGGGGACTAGAGAGAAATGAAATATACCCCCGCTGCCGTCCTGGCCCCCACGTTCAACTTCAGTGTGCGTCTCAGTGCATGGCGGGGGGGTCAGGGGAGGGTGATGGGGACACGTGTGGGCAGGGAGGAGGTCAGGCCGCCTTTTCCTCCTCTACATCCCCTCCCCCTGTCTTCCTGGCAGCAGCCCCTCTCCCCAAAATCCGGCACTCAAACACCTTCATCTCCCTGCTTTAAACCCCAACCCATCCTCCTGAGGTGGGAGTCACTGACCCCATCTCCAAAGTAGAAAACTGAGGTCCCAGGAGTTCCCACAGGAGCTTGCCAGTCACAGGGCTGTGACATGGCCCTGCTGTGGGTTTGAACCCAGCTCAATCTGACCCAAAGCCTGAGCTTACAGAGGAGCCGGAGGAAGTAGCCTTTGAGCCCAGGCTTGGAGGTGAGGCCACCCTGGATGGGGGTCATAGGGAGGGACGGCAGGGGTTCTGAGGGGCAAATTCTTGCCGGGCTCCCTGGGGGACGAAGGCCCTACAGAGGCTGGAGTGGGCTGAGGTGTGCACACTGGGGAGCATGTCTAGACCAGATCACGCAGGGCTCTCTGGATATTGGGCAAGGAGTCAGGGGACACTGCGGGTTGGGGGGTTCAGGGGACACAATCTGGGCAGTCTTACCAGAGCCACAGCATCGTAGATTTAGAAGGAGCTTGGTGGGCATGTTATTGTCCCCACCCAAGCATGGGGATCACCAAGCAAGCACCAGCCAGAGGTGGGGAGGCTGCCGCAGTTTCCTACTGTGTAGAGTGGGGGCCGCGGTGGTCGTCTGCGTCCTTCCAGGCCTGGGCATGCTGCCTGGAAGGTCCAGAGGTGGCTTCGTCAGAGTAGCTAGCTGTTCCAGTGAGGTCAGTACTCAGAGACGTCTGAGTCAGGAGACCAAAGGGATGCCCCACGTGCCCAGGTCAGCAGGATGCTCTTGTACATGGTGCCGATCTTCATGTCCAGGCTGATGGGGTTGAGGCAGCAGCGCCCACCTGCTGCATGGAGAGCAGCAGCAAGGAGCCATGGTTGCAGACCCCGAGACACGGCCCTCGTGTGAGTCCGAGGCTGCCACAGATGTGATGGAGGCTGAGGAGGGGGAGGTGCTGACAGAGGCTGAGATGATGCCTGAGGTCTCCAGCGACGACTGGGAGGTCAACTCCGGAACTTGAGGAATGGCAAGGCCAGCAGAAACACCAGACTGTGTAAGGCAACCCCGGTCAGCATCTAGCCCAGAAGCTTCTAGAGACTGAGTCTTCTTGGCCCCTTATGGCTGTGGAGTGGGGACCCAGGCTCCAGGAAGGGATGTCTGTCAGGGAGAAAGGGTGGGACAGTCACCTCCTTTTCCTGGCCATCAGGGATCCTGGGACAAAACCCACACTAATGTCCTCCACATCTACATCGGGCTGGAGGAGCATGCAGAGCGGGGTAGGCGATGTCCCTGCTGCGCAGGTAGGGGCTGCATCTGAGCTGGTCCCAGGACTTGGAGTGAGCGCTCCTTTTGGTCTTGGGTGTTGTGTTGGGGGTGCGGTGGCAGAATTGAAGGGCTGACTTTGCATTGATCCGACACCCTGGGTGAATGGGTGCTCTAGGGTGTCCATGGGCACAGGTGGCTGTGACCCACACATGGGAAGGTGTGAAGGAAGCACACAGAAGACAGTGCCCTGAGCTATGCAGGTTTTCTGCTCATGGGCAGTGCTCCTTGGCAAAATTCAGCTAGTCTGCTTGTTCCTAGAGCACAGAAGGCCCCTAAGGTTGTGAGTGGTTCATGGGAAGTCAGGTCAGTCTGTTGCTGGGCATCATGCCTGGCAGGAGGAGAGCTTCAGCCTGAAATGACGGTCTGGGGGTGACCTGGAATGCTAGTTGAGGTAGAAATTGCCCAGGTAGCCTGATCCACTCCAGTCTGTATTGCTTCTCTACCCAACAACCCAGACCTAGACAATGGCCCTCTGGCTGGCTGGCATCTGGAACAGTTAGAATGTTCCTCTGGTTCAGTTGAAGGAGAAGATCAAAGTTAGTAGAGCAAAGGAAACTATGAAGATTAGGGCAGAGATAAATGGAAGAGAAGAGCATGTGAGAAAAATCAGTGAAAACAACAGTTCTTTCTTTTGCTGATTTACCAAAATTGACAAAGAGACCAAAATGGAACCACTTTATACCAACCAATTGGCTCCCTGAGATGAAGCAGATCATTCTGAGAAGCACACAAACTACCAAAGTGACTCCAGAAGAAATGGAAACCCTGAGCAGACCTATAATAATAGACTGAAGCAGTCATGAGAACTTCCCAAGAATGAAAAGTCCAGAACCTGATGCTTTCCCTGGTGATTTGGCCCACACGTTTAAAGAAGACATAATACCAATCCTTCTGAAAGTCTGAAAAAAGTACAAGAGGAGGGAACACTTCCCACGTCACCCTAGAATGCCAGCATTGTCCCGATTCCAAAGACTGACAAAGACCTTACAAGAAAAGACAGTTGCAGGCCAAAATCCATTATGAAGAGCGAGGCAAAAATCCTCAACAGAATTCTAGCAGACAGAATCTAGCAGCACATTGACAGGACTCTACATCATGACCAAGTGTGATTTACACCGGGAATGCAAAGGCTGTTCAACGTAGCTAATCAGTGTCCTAGACCACATCCAGAAGAAACATGATCATGTCAATTGTTGTAGGATAAGCTTTGACAAAATCCAAACCTTTTCATAACAAGTATTCTCAATAAAATAGAAATAGAAGATTCAGTTGTGATAAAGGAGAGGTGCCTGGGTGGCTCAGTGGGTTGAGTGTCCGACTCTTGGTTTGGGCTCAGGTCATGATCTTAAGAGTCTTCAGATTGAGCTCCAGGGAGGGCTCTGCACTCAGTCGGGAGTCTGCTTGGAGATTCTCTCCCTCTGCCCCTCCCCACTCTTGGGTTTGCATGCTCTCAAATAAATAAATAAATAAATAAATAAATAAATAAATAAATAAATAATTCTTTAAAAATTATGATAAAGGATATTTATGAAAAATAACTCATATGTATATCATTCTTTGTGGTGAAAGACTGGGAGTTTTCTCCTTAAAATCCCCAAAAAGTCAAGGATGCCCATGTCCACCACATCATTTCAATATTGTCATGGAAGTTTGGTCAGAGAAATTATACAAGATTAGTTACTAAAAGCTCACAAATGGAAAGGAAGAAGAAAAAGGTTATTTATATATGACATGATCTTATATGCAAATAATCCTAAGAATTTGAAAAACTCTGTACGAGATTATAATATTTCCCGAAAGGTATGAGCAGAGAAGACCAACACATATGGATCAATGGAATACTGCTGAGAATCAAGGAATACATACATGTA